CCACCCATGCATCCATCCATGCATCCACCCATCTGTCCACCTACGTGTTTGCTCATCACCTCACTTATTATCTCATCCAGCAAGCCAGGCACCCAGCTGTGTGCACATTAATGTATTTGTCCTTCCACGCACAGGCACCCTGCTGTGCGCACATTAATGTATTTGTCCTTCCGCACACATATTTGTCCATTAAGCCATCTGAACGTGTTAATACTTGGGGCATTTACTATATCATGGCAACCCTCAGTCCATCTTAGTTAATATTTTTCATCTTTCCATCAAGTCACTTATTCATATCTCACCCACCCACCCACCCATTGATTAATGACTCCATTTATCTATTCATATAGTTAGCAATTTATACATTTCCCCCCAACAAATGTGTGTTGGGACCATTACTGTGTTCTAATAGGTGCTGAGGCATGGGGTTTAACCTGGAAAACATTTCTGCTCTCAAGAGATTGACCTATTTACGGGCAAAAGCAAACACACATGCGCTAACAGATGGGTTCAGTGCTATAGAAGCGATAAATCATGGTCAGAACGAGATGTCAATAAAACTATTCCACAAAGGCGAGAAGAGGGTGTCCTGGGATTCTGGAGGCAAATGACCTGTGATAAAGCTGTGCGGGAGGGAGGCTCCTGGTTCTGACAGCACCTGAGACCCTCATCCCTGGACCGCAGGGAGGGAGGCCCCTGGTTCTGACAGCACCTGAGACCCTCATCCCTGGACCGCAGGGAGGGAGGCTCCTGGTTCTGACAGCACCTGAGACCCTCATCCCTGGACCGCAGGGAGGGAGGCTCCTGGTCTGACAGCATCCGGGTCCCCAGTTTATGAAACACAGCAGGAGTGGTGCTTAGGGACAGTGACTGATGCAGGGGTTACAGGGAACAGGGTTGGGGAGGGGGAAAGGAATTAGACAGCAATCCATGAATGTGGGAGGGGCAGGGAGCATCAGCACCGATGGTGATGGTGTGTATACAACGCTTTTAAAAAGTGATTTAACTATGGGCGTATGTGACACGTGAATATGAAATCAAGAAAACGACTTTAAAAAAGAAACCAGACTTGACCTACGGCTCTCGCGGGTGGAGGGGACACTGCGTTCATTTTCATGGCAGTGGGACAATTTGGAGAGAGATGTCAACAACGGTGTGCCACACGCAGAGTGTAATCAAGGGCCCTGGATTAGATGTGTAGAAGGTGTAAGGAGGAGGGCCAAGGGGGGGCGTGCGTGGGCCGAGGACGGCGCGTGTCCGTGGGCGATGGTGAAGTGGCTTGGAAGGGGTCTCACAGGACGAGCTGCACTCTCTGGAACATAGAATCCACAGCACCGGGTGGCAGTGGCAGCAAAGTGGCGAGGGGACACACTGTATCAGAAGAGACAAGGGAGGGTGGGAAATGGATTCTAGGGAGAGGAAGCAAGCACAGAACTCCAGATTTGGGAGTGTTTATTCGATAGTTCACCCGGCTCCCAGGCATCCCTCAGCACCTGTGTATCTTTCTACCCACCCGCCTCTTGTTGTGCTTGCTCATCTGTCCATGCCCATTATGCATCTTCCTCCCATGGTCTCATTATTCTCACCTGTCTAGTCATTTAGCTGCACAAATTACCCACCCACCCATCCCTCTGTGTCAATCCATTCATTCATCCATCCATCTACCCATTTATCCATCATCCATCCATTTATCCATCATTCATCCATCCATCCATCCATCCATCAATTTATCCATCATTCATCCATCCATTTATACATTCATCCATCCATCCATTTATCCATCCATCAATTTATCCATCTAGCCATCCATTTATCCACCTATCCATCCATTTATCCATCTATCCATCCATTTATCCATCTATCCATTTATCCATCATTCATCCATCCATTCATCCATCTATCCATCCATTCATCTGTCCATTTATCCATCCATTCATCCATCCATCCATCCATCCATCCATCCATCCATCCATCCATCCATCCATTTATCCCATTTATCCATCCATCCATCCATATCCATCCATCCATTCATCTACTTATGTATCATTCACCAATTCATCCATTCCATCAATTTGTTCATCTATCCATCCATCTCTTGCTTCACCTGCTTATTCTTCTTCCCAGGATTGATAATCAGGTAGAATAACTGATTAGAGACAGTGCCATGACCCACCGGCGGGCACAGACCCGGGTTTGGATCCATCCCGGAGGAAGGAGGCCCAATGGAGCGAGGATTATTGAACAATTCCATCCCTATCACTTGAAAATAAAGTTTTGCTGGAGGCAACTTGAGAACAATTGGAGCAGCAGCACGTTCACAGGGAGCAGTCAGAAATTCAAGTTGGATTCTGAAGAGGAAGTGGATTGAGGGACGT